CATTTCAAAACTATGGTTCTCAAAATGCTATCATGCTGTCTTTCATTTTCAGTCATAAGAGCGATACACAGTGGCAGAGCACATGCTTTGCATGCAAACTGTCAATGCCTGTCTACTGTCAAGTTGGGCTGGAAAATAATCCTTCCCAAAACCCCAGAGAGCTGCAGCTCATCCATATGGCTAGTACTAAGCTAGATGGACCAGCCATCTGATGCAATACAAGGTGGCTTCCTATGTTCATGGGATCCCCAGAAATCCTGAGTCCAAAGTCTAAGACTGGGCAAACTTAATAACCATCTTTCTGTAGTCTGGTAGTCCTTCCCATGCTCATACCTACACTGTTGCTTTATCCATCATTCACATCCCTTCATTAAAGGATTCCTTTAATTCAATTTCTTCCTATACAATAGAGTAGTTGTAGGCCTTTGTGTGTCTGTGTCTTTCATTTTGAGTCTGTAGCTTCCATTTTGTGCGCTGCTGTTTGGTTGGGTTTGTTTTTTGGGGTTTTTTGTTTGTTTGTTTTTGGATCAGTGAATGAAGATGGCTGTAAGAGCAGTCAGACCTTCCTTATCAAGCTTCGGATGCTAATTAATTAGTTACCCAAATGTAAGCTTGTTCACTGCACCTTTCTGCACCAACACTCCTTTTTTAGCAGGTTGAAGTAGAGTTCACGCACACTTATGCTGTCAAGAAGCTTATTGTAAACAGTAGTATGCAGTGCCAACTGTCCATTAAAACTTAATCAATGACTAGTAGCAGACCTGCTAATCAGATTGTCCATATCAACTGGGCTGAGTCTTTTGCTCAGTGTTCAGACACTGATTGCCAAGGCAGCCTTCACTGACTGTCTGTTCCAGTTGGCAGAAGAAGCCTGCCTTACAGTCCAGTTCACACAGTGTTTAACTGCTGCTAAACACTAGCTTGCTGGCTTGTGTTTTGTGCACACCAAAGAGCTTTCCTCCTTGTAAGTAACCCTAGGCTAGGCATACTGCTTTCCTTGGTATTCCAAAAGAACAGGAGCCCGCAGCCAGGTCACTACAGTAGTTTGTCACCCCAAATGCCTGAAGTGGGCCTGCAGTAATACAGTTCAGTTTCTGCTGATTACTATCCTACATAAAAGGGCAGTTTGTGCATAATGGGGATAACACAAGTCAGAGGTGTGCAGAAGGCAGTGCACTCTCCCTGTCTTGCTCATGCAGCAGAGGTTTATATCATGGCCAGTCGTTATATGCGAACCAGGTCAATGCATCCGTAATATAAATAGCTCAAAGTACAGAAAACAAAGCAATGTTGAATAATATATTGCCTGAAAAAACTCAGTAGAAATTTGGTCAACATATATGAATAATATATAAGTAAATGGGCACAACTGAAATAGACTAAATTAAACATTTAGGAGTTTATTGCAGAAATTCCCTGCCAATACTTGCTACTGCCCTAGTAACAGAGTGCTGAACTGTTAAGTCTTATCTTCTGGGGGAAGACTGGGCCTTATTTTACCTTAACAACAAACTGTAATATTGTTCTTTTTAATACTTGAAATAGCCATTAACTTGGTATCAATTATAAGTGTTATTATTTTTCATACTATGGCCACCTTTCCTGATGACCTAGTACTGGGCAGTAGACAATGTCCTGGTTCACATATAATGGCAACCCATGGTTTAAATTAACTGTTAATTATGTTTGCTAAACATAATCAACCCATCATTAAAGAACCCAGAGTTTGTTGTTGGTTAGTGAATTATGGATGATTTATACTACAGGCTGACATGTGTGAACCCATAATTGTGGGCTGTTCATAATTTCTTTTGTCAGGTTGTGGAAGTGGTAGGCAAAAGTGAGCACCTCTCAACCTCCTTATATGCCAATACTACAGCTTAGATACAGGAAAGGAGCAGGCAAAGAAGGAGCAAAACAACTCAAAGACTGAGAAAATTAATCATAGTTTGTTGGTCACCCACCTGACAAATACTAGGTAGGGCAACCAACTATGGCTTAAATAAAAGTTAATGTTACATGCAAACCAGGCCAATAAGGTATTTTATTGCTGGAGGAGACTCCAAACCAATGAAATCACTTCCCTATGTTAATGAAACCTGATGCAAAATATGTGTACTTTGTACATAAAAGAACATGTCCAGCTTTGAAAAAAGAAACTTTTTGTTTAAAAGCTCTGCAAATCTCACATGGTTTCTCCTTACAATGAGACTGTAAATATTCTGTGAATTTTATGTCAGACTGTGAAAGAATATTTTTAGCTTGCTTTGACGTGCTTTTTCAGCTTGACCCTGCTACCAGTCCCTCACAGCAGAGCAAATTGTGGGTATCATGAAAAATTAAGTCATGGCAACACACTCCTTGAACACTCATTTCTAGGGAATCAATTTTGTGTTAAATTCACAAAAAGCTAGACTTTACTGTTGCAATCGCTTCTGAATTTTGTTGTTGGCCACTGTTTGGATGGGGCGCTGTTTGGATATGCTGTAAGCCACTGACCCCAGTTGCCTCCCCAGCATACTACTTTTCCCCATCTGCAACACCAACTGGCACCTCAGAAAGGCAGCCAGCACAGTTCCCTCTGCACCAGCGACAAGGGCAGAAGCTCCAAGGTTGCAGGATCTTGGAGATGGGGCCAGACAATGCCAGGAGGCCATAGGGCCAAGCATTTTAAAAATTAAAATTACTAAGACCCTTTTAGTCACAGCATGAAGACAGTAACAATGCAATCAATAATTTATTTGAAAGTCAGGAGAACATGCTTAAATATCTCTGAATCTTCTTATTGGGACTTTTTAACAGCATCAGTAGAAAAAGATATTTGCTATGGTAAATCGCTAGTATTGGCTACCATTACATACACTCCTTAACCAGTCCATGGTATATGGACGAACAGAGCAATACATGCCCAGAATAAATAGATACAAATGTGGCATTAAAACAGCAATATTTTTGGAAAAATGAACTGCAAAGAGAGATTCTACACTTCAACAACTCTATCTCCCATGAACCGAATAGGGACAAAGGTCTGATTTCATGTAGTCTCACTACATGTGTTAATTACCTCCCCTTTTTATGGATGGCTTTGTTTTCACTCAAGAACTATTTGTGAATGGCCACTGTTAAGAAAATCATCTCTGTACTTTCCACATTTCAGTTCCCTCTGATCTCATTGTTTCCATCTCCTCTCCCCTCCATCAGAAAACACCTCATGCATCTAATGAGGTGGCCACAAAAGGTTATGTCACAATCAATCTGTTAGTCTTTAAGACAGCCTTCCCCAACCATTCTTGACATGCTGAACACCCACTCCATGGTCACTGATGATTGGCCATGTCAGCTGGAGCTGCACCTGGAAAGCACAAGCTTGGGGAAGGCTGCTTTAAGGTGACACAAAACAGTTCAACTATGGTATTCCTTACCACAATTTGCACCAACAGGAGGGGACATTACAGGTACCAAAGATGCACACTTTCCGCAGCTGTCATCCTCTTCTCCACCCCACAGTCCTGGCAATGCATCAGCTCCAGTAGGAGTGGTCAGATCTGGGACACAGGTACAACCAACTTGGATCATTTGAGAATTAGCCAAATTCAGGAAGGACAAACTTGAGAATTACTAGTTACTGTGCCTACCTGAGAGGTCCATATCAGAGGCAGTAGGCCTACAGAAGTCAGTTGCTTTGGACTGGGCAATGTTCAGCAGGAAAGTGCTGTTGCATTCATGTCTGCTGCTGGGCCTCCAGGTAGCATCTGGCCAGCCACTCTGGGGCCAGAATGCTGCACTAGATGGGCCTCTGACTGATCCAGCAAGGCTCTCCATATGTTCCAAATGATTACCTAAAGAATGGCAGGACCAAAGAAGCCCCTCCATTTTATTTCTGTGATCACGATGGTGCTAGGATTTAATAACTTTAAAACGTGAAATGGCACATGCTCAACTGTTGTCCGTCCCTTCTACAGTGGAAAAACAGAAGCAATTCTGCAATGTAGAAGGACCAGGGTAGGGGAAAGAGAAATCTTAGCTCATACTTCACAACTAAAGTAATATCCATAGGCACAGTAAAGCACCCCCACAAGACTTTGGTTTAAAATTACCTGGCTGCACGTTACTGCTCCTTAAGGGTGGTGTTGAAAAGCATGAGACTTCTACTAGACCAAGACTTCTACTAGACCAATGCTGGATACCATCCATTTTTATGTTTTGGGGATTTATTTTTATCGAATAAGGGGGGCACGGGTGCAATTACACACTTTTGAACCTCCTTTTGTTTTTTTAAAAACCCCCACCGGATCGCCGATTCCAACCCGGGTCCCAAAAAAAAGTGCCATTAAATCAGAGGGATGAAGTTCTGAATACTACACGTGTTCAGATCAAGCCGGAATTGCGCGTTCCGGCTGTGATTTCGGAAAAAAACCCCACCCCCTCATTCGCCATGCGTGGGAGATCCTTCATGAGAGATCGCTTCGCATGGCCAATGCCCTTCGCACCACCGACTACGTTCGCCCCAGGAACAGAGAATCGAAAGCGGAGCCCAGCCCGTTTCCAGCGCATGCGCCCTATTCCTTAAAGCAGCGCCATGCTTGCCGAGCTCCCCGTCACGCCCTTTCCCCCTCCCGTCCTGCCCCCCTTCAACTCCACTCGCCTGCCAAACCATCCCATCCAATAAGCGCGAGCAAAGAGAGGCGTCAGCTCCTGTGACGTCAATTCCTCAACTCCACCTCCTTTTCGTTCCTAGGGGGAGATACGAAGCGAGCTTAGAGAGGGCACGCGCAGGAGTGCGCGCCTTTCTTTTTGTGTGACGTCACTGGCCTTCTTTCTCCGCGGCTGGGATACGAACCAATTGACGAATACGCCGAGGGTCCTCCTCCTAGTGACCTCACAAGCCCTAGCTCTTCGTCCCTCCCCCCCGCAGTTTAGGGTCTGGCAGCCAATCAAGGGCGGGGACGAGACTGCGGCCGGCCCTCCGTGACGTCCTGGGCCCGCCCCCAGCCGCCCCGAGGCGCTTGGCGGTGGGCAAGCGGAGAAGTGTCGAAGCCCATTTTGGTGCTCTTCCCATCTCCGTCGCTCTCTCCGCGGCTGGTGCTGGCGCGTTATACTTCCCCCGCCCCATCCTTCCTCCTACGTTATACTCGCGTTGTTCTCAACCATCCGACGACATGGAAAGTGCAGCGGCGGGAGCCGAGTTCAACATCCTCCTCGCGACTGACTCCTACAAGGTTGGGGGTGAAGGAAGAAGGGAGGCAGGCGGGAAGAACGATGGGTCTGAAGCGGGAGAGGGAGGGAGGAACTGGTTCTCTTCTGCACCCCCTTGCCTTCCCTTCTCTGCCTCTCAACCTTTAGGCTGGGCTGGCTGCAGGCACTGATGGGTTCCTGTGCTGGTTCCGTGCTTTCTCCCCCGATTCACAACTGCGCTGTTCCTGCGACCGCTAATTCCTCATTCTCTTCCCACCCCGTCTTTCCTGCTGCTTTATCCCAGCCAGCTCATTCGCCTGTTCAGGCACCGGGCCAGGAGGTGGCGGGGGTCTGAGGAACCTACTTAGACGGCTGCATGGCGCTGGCTGCTCGGGGCTACGTGTGTGACGGCTCGCAGGCCATGCCAATCCATAAGCGACTTGCTCGAAGGGGGTGGGGTGGGGAAAAGGTAGAGTAGGTCACAGCAGGCCAGCCAGTTTACCCTTGGTACCCCATGCACCTGGTAATAGTGGGCTTACTGCCTCCCGGCGAAAGCTCACGCTGCAATATATGTAAATCAAGGCTTTTAAAGAGTCACGAGCCTCCTGGTGCGGCAGACCGAGGCAGCAATCCTTTGAACACTTAATTGATAGAAGGTCCCATTAAAATTGGCGGGGACCGTTTCCAAGTAAGTCTGCGTTCAGTGCGCTGTAACACGGCTGCTCTTTTGGAGCAGAAGCGGCCGATCCGAAGGCTTCGGGTTGGGACTTAGAGCTATACACTTTTAGTAAAGTGTTGTTTGTTGGTCGTGATACTGATCTGTGATGGAGGACCACGAAGTGCTTGGCGTGTTGTGGGATGTGACCCAAAGATGGAAACTCGGTTTCTGGTACTGACATGGCTGGAGAGTAAGGCAAGCGATTTGGAGGGTAGCTGTCTCTCATGTGTCTCTCTCCTCTCAGAAGTTTCTAGTAAAAGTACACACGGGCAATAAGCAAGACAGAAAGTGAAACCTGTGGCAGGGAGGAGCTGGCAGGGTAGTGCTCTGGTGTGCAAGTTAATCTTTCATGTAGGCACTCAAATTCTCTATTTCAGTCATGATGAGGGGAAATCAAGGAAATAATAGTGAAACACCTGTCTCATTCAATGACTAGACCAGTACCAAGTGTTGACTAATGATGAGAAAGGGAGATGTAAATGAATTTGAGGACAGATAATCCTTTGTTGACAAGCTGGCTAAAATGTATCTGATGACCAAAGGATGAGATTTCTAAATAGCAAATAAATATTCTGTTTGAAGTATGCATGGTTCTTGCTCTCTATCTGCTGATCTGTAAAATCTCAAAGCTCTTATCTGTACTACTGGTATCGCCTAATTGTTACAAATATTGTTTAACTTGAACAGGAAAGGTACACATTTTGGGCATTAAAAATGGGTAACATTTTGCGACAGTATAGAGAAGGAGTGGGCAACTTCTCTTTTGCCACTGGTTATGCTGGCTAGGGCTGATGGAATTTGGAGGCCAAAGCATCTGGAGGGCCACCAAAACAAGGAAATCAGATTTTAATAATGGGTGAAGGCAGATAATCTCTCCCAATAGGTTTTTAATCACAGAGCTTTTGGTTGGACTCCCACTGGCTAGATAGCTGTTTTTAAGTGTGAAGTTTCTTACTAAAACTTCAATTCTGTTTAAATGTTTGAATTGTAATTGCTTCTATAGTGGTCTCCAAATTTTAATTCCCCCACACTGTTACTGCTTTTGAAATGCTTGGAGCTGGATATGCTAGTTGGCAGTAGTGTTATGAAGCCATTTCTGATGCCAATAAGATCCTCAAACAATTCAGACCAGTCATACTGTTCCTGCAACTACTGATTATGAAAGCATGCAATATATAGTCCCACTGATTTCAAGGAAAATACAGGGGAAAGTTGTGTTCCAGGGATATCACAGCCAAAGTTCTTTACTTAAAAGCTGTGCCTTTAAATTGCAAAATCCCAAAAGCTGTTCTGTGCTAGTCTTGCTGTGATTCACCTGCTGTGTCTGTTGTAGCTGTTATAATATTAGCATGTACCAGTTTACTAAGCACTTCAGGCACAATCCAGCCAGAATCAAACACTTATCTATCCCATCCATTTCAGTATGGGAATGAGCAATTCTATGCATATCTATCCCAGGTCAAGCACAGGTAACTTGTGTTTAAAACTCAACATAGTAATAACAAAGTCTAGTTTTTACAATAGTAGCCATGATAGGAAATCCTCATGAAAGCTTAGTCCATGCAAAATGTGATGCTCTTAGATTTTAAAGTTAATATAGGAAGCTGCTCTTGTACCAGTTCTGACTTTCCGTGCAACTAGTTCGGTGTTCTCTACATTGACTAGCAGCAGTACTCCAGGGCTTTTGAACAGGAGACCTTTTTGAGCCCTTCTGGAGTTGCTGGAAATTGAACCTGGCATCTTCTTAAGACAAAGGATGTGCTGTGCCAGTGAGGCGAAGTTCTTTGTGGGTGGACCTTCCTGTTAGAGTTAAAACATAATCTAGCTGTTAAAACATAAATATAATCACCAGTCTAATTGGTAAGACCTTCATACTTATGTGGCAATTATTTTTCTTCTATCTCTGATATATTTTGAAATTTTCCTGTTAAATAATAGAAGAAACAACACCATATTTGTCCAATATACTTCTGTCAATCAATAGTGAGTGGAAACACTTCAGTTACTATAATAAATCATCTTAAGCTTTATCTGGTGCTTTCAATTACTCAAAATGCTTCATGCATGTTATGTAGTTGTAAACCAGCAATTTAATTCAACATTGCCCCCTACAGAGGAAAAAGTGGTTCATCTCAGGCTATCTGGAGAGTTCTTGGTGCAAACAAGATTTGAACCACTGACTTGCTGATCCATACCACAGCCTCTCAGCTATTATTTTGAGAATATTTGATGAGAATGTTGGAAGTTCAGATTGCGTTTGGGAGAAGTCAGAAAGCTAACTTGGGAGGACTTTGTTTTCTTAGTTACAGTGGTTTTTCTTGTGGTTTTAATTCTGTTCTTATTTTTGTATTTACTATTAAATATTTTTCTTACATGGTTTTAATATCATGTTAATTAACAGAGTGACTATTCTGGGATTGAAGGATAACATTTATCTCTTAAAAATAAAATTAAGTAACTTGCTTGACAGCATAGTTAGCACAGTCAGAACCCACACACACATACACACCAAACCCCAATTGTCTAAACACTCAACCAGATAACAACCCAAAACATTTGCATGAAACTAGTGGCTGTGTTTTATGATGTGTTCAGTGCTAATTCCTGTCACTGTCTTGCAGTGGATCCTCAATACTGATTTATTTAACACCTTTAGTGTCCATACTGCACCACTTGATAGATGGAAACAGGAGCAATCTTGCATATAAGACCCATGTTCTTACAACATGCCATCCTTTCAGGTAGATTTGTGAAGAATCTCACTAGGTTGTTAGTCTTTCCCCACCACCTCACATTCTAGTTGGAAAGGAGCTAAGCGGTTCCATACTGGCTCTGGAGCAAGAGCAAGGCCTGCTCCTTCTGTAGCCAGCATTTATTTTTATTTATTTATATTGCGATGTATATCCTTTTTCCTACAAAGGGCTCAAGGCAGCTTACATCATCTCTCCTCCTCCATCTTATACCCACAACAACAACCCTGTGAGGTAGGTTGGGCTGAGAGTCTGTGACTGTCCCAAAGTCACCCAGCTGGCTCCATGGCTGAGCAGGGACTAGAACCCAGATCCTCTGAGTCCCAGTCCCATGCTCTTAACCACTATACCACACTGGTAACACAAGGTACTAGCCTCTTAGCAGACAAACAAAAAGTGTACTTCTACTATGTACACTAGTGGAAAGGGACAGAGTGATTCAGGCTTTCTATAGCCCGCTCACTTGCCTTTGTGTAGTTCTTGGTCGCCTCCAAATATGAGGGGAGGAGTGAAATGCAATTTATTATTAATATACTTTGCAAAAGTTTCTTCTTGCTGCTGTGTGTTACAGTGATTTGCTTTGCAATAACTTGTACTAGGCTGGCTTTTGAAGCAAGTATGCTAGTGAACTAAGTATAAGTTTGTAGTAATACACCTAGTTTAACCTCATAATGGATCTGATTTTATTTGTAATATAAGAGTACAGCTAAAACATAATAAGCAGCATTTACTGTAATGGAGAGGCAATTTGCAACTGGAGGTTGGAACTGAACTAATGCTTTGACATATTTTTCTGTGTGTATATATACATTAGGGATGCTTGGGTATCTGACCCCTGAGTTCTAATATTTACTTACCAAATCAACCATCTCCAGGGCTAACATGCAAATTTAATAATTAAATATATTCAGATTTTTAAATGAGAAGTTTCATGCATATCTTTTATGTCATTGATAATGTGGAAATGGAGTAGAGCAGTAAATACATCTGCAAATGTCATAAAACAGAAATAGGCAGATTCATCTATCCCTGATTTACACTGATATGCACTGGTCAAGACATATCCCCATAAAGTATCTTAACACCAAGCATTTTTAAAGTTGCAAAGTCCATATCTGTTCAAAAGCTCCTAAAAATGTGCAAGCTTTTTGTGGGCTGTTGAAATTGTGGGTTATGTTGATGTCTGAATTCAGCCAAGATAATAAACTATGGTGAATAACTCAATAGTTCCCAGCCTAACCACAAACCATGGGTTCTGTTTATTGGTTGGTTGTTCTTGACAAGCCATGGCTTGTAACATAACCCACAGTCCAGCAACCACCTGTAGTTCAATTACAACACATCCTCTGCCCTTTGATACCTCAGTGGCAGCAGTGCCAGGGGAGTGCCAGTGGGCAGCAGGTACCAGTCCTGGACATTGTCCAAAAGAGGCTGCAAATGCCTGTGCCCCTTTTGGTTTCTCTTGACAGCTGTCAAAAGAAAACAATGCAAGGGAGTTTTTGCTACAAAAACATGTTTTGGGGAAATTTACATCACCTTTATGGCAAAGTCCTCATCTCCCCTTTTACTTCCCATTCAGGCACACATTTTGCACTTTTATGTCTCAAGCCTCTAGCTCCTCAGTAGAATTCAAGAGTGCACTTCACTTCTGCTTTCTAGCTTCCTTTGTGGTTCCCTTTAAAATCAGAGTTTTTCATTGGGAACTGGTGTTTTTGCACTAGGACATAGTACTGTGTACTCAAAACTGTCTCCCATCCTCAGAGATTCATTGACTGGTAGAAAACAGAAGTAGAGAAAGTCTTAGGGATAATCTATTATGGTAATCTCAATGGTAATCTATTGAGGATTATTTAACTCATGGTGAGATAGTAGTGTGTGTGAGGTAAGGAGGGGTGGACACCGTTTTGAATATACAGTCCTTATTTGGGGGTTGTCATATGTGAAGCTGGGGAGTGTGGGTTATGTAAGGGTTAAACAACCCTCTCATAACTCATGCTTTCCAGGTTTGTATGACATGAATCAGAACTGAACATGCAAGCTGGAGCCTGCATATTCAAAATAGTGCCTGTGGGCAATGTGGTTCATCATGGATAAAAATAAACCCAGTCTTAAAAAGTATTCCAAACATCCCCAAGGCGAAACAGGGACAGCTGTTTTCTTAGCCTGGAGACATGTATCAGTACATAGAACCAAATAGAGCATGTGAGAGTAAACAAAGATACATTGATGTATACAACCTAGATTTTTATATTGGAGAGGCAATAGGGGTTTGTGGGGTGAATGACGGATTTTGGAATAGGATTTGAAGGAAGAACCAGCACTTCATAGTTTTTCTGCAAGTTGCTTAATGTTTAAAAGAAAGGATCCCCAAATTTAAGTGCTTTCAACAATTGTGACAATACAGTGGGACCCCTGTATCCACGAGGATCGGTTCCCAGCCCCCAACAGATGACTGAAACTGTGGATAGTAGCAAACACTATATACTGTACATATACATTTCTTTTTTCATAATTTCATGGACAAAAGATTCATTCTTACCACGCATTCTAGCAACCTCAACATACAATTTTTTTCTTTCCCTGTTAGCACAAGTATTTTCACTTAAAGGAAACACTTCATGGCTTAGGCGCTTTACAGCACTTTATAATTTCTCTTTTGGACCAGAGGTCCAATGTGGCTGTGTGAAACTGCAGTGACCTAGCCAGTGGATACAGGGGTTCTGCTTCATTATATTTTTTTTATAATTTACCAAGTGCTTAACCAGGGTATGGTAAGCTTCCACTGGAGCGAAATAAAAAAATAAATAAAACCCTTACACAATATTTTTGCTTGTCTTAGAAAAGCAAGCAAAGATATTGCTTGTCTGAGTTTCTCTGGGATGAGAGAGCTGCAGAATTTGAGTTGCTGCTGTGGAAGATTTGCTCCTGCTATGATAGTTTTACTACTCGAAGCAGGTCCCCCTTGACCATTATATCAAATGGGAGATTGCAGTGTTCAGGCTGTTTCAAAGTTAAAACTAATATCTTGTGTGGTGCCCAAAATTAAGGAATTGCCATTGTGGCACATACAAAATTAGTATTAAATTCAGGGCAGCCAGTCCCAGTTTAACATACTGTTATGCACTAATTACAGCTTTCAAATGCATTTCAAACATCACTCCATATCAAGTTCAAAACAAATCAATTCTCTGAATTATATAATTGTGGATAATTGTTTTTATGTGTAGGCCAACAAAGATACATAGTTTGGAGTGACCTAGCATTAGCTGGAAAATGCTAGTGAAACACCTTGCTTGTCTTCTTTTCCTATTAACATGGAGGCTTTAGTGATCAGAAGAAATTATTTAATTCAAAGGAAATGAACAAATGGACTGGTGCTGCAGTTGGTCCTTAATTTCTCAATATGTATAAGAACATTCCTCCAATCTTACTCTTGGTTAATCCAACCAATCGGCATGTAGTACTGTACTTACAATTAATGTATGTACTGATAGTTAAGCTGTATATTATTAATAATTTGGCATGGCATGTCAAACTGAAAGAATCTCTTTTCAAATAAACTAGACACTAAATCCTTCATCTGTTGTGCTGCTAATTCTGCATTGAAACCATCTAATTCAGAAACTTGAGTACTGATTTAAATAGTTCTTCTCAAAGAAGTGACTTTTATTTTGCAGTGTCGTTGAACATTTGTCTTGGCTATTTCCACTAATAAGCTGTTCTAGAGGTCTATACATAGTTTATATAAATTCAGAATTCAGCTCTACAAATGATTTATAATGCTATTGGATCAGGAAACCATACCCCCTAAATTGAAACTTAAAATCTTACTTGGGATCTCAAAATTCTGTCTTTAAAGCAAACATATAATGTGGTGAACAACAAAAGGCAAGTGTCTTTTGACATATTCATTAGGAGAAAACATAATAAGGAAACATATAATATCTAGCTTATGTGGGCAGAAGAATGATTATAATTTCAAATGGGGCATTAAAGAAGCAATAAGAAGATTGCACAGAATAGATTTAAAAAGAGAACAGAAACAGAATAATAGTTTGTCCTTTCTGGACAGCATTGATTTAGGGCCTTTGTTATATGACAGTTAAGAGTATTGGACTAGGGGCCCGAGAGATCTGAATCCTAGTCTTTCACTTGGCCATGAAGCTCAAGGGATGATTTTGGGCCAGTCATTCCCTTCCTCTTAGGCTTAACTAGCACACAGGGTTGTTGTTGTCAGGATAAAAATGTAAGCTGCCTTCAGTTCCTCACAAGAGAAAAAAAAGGCAGGAAAGAAATGTAATGTACTACTACTTGCATTTGGAACAGAGATGTACATTGCTGGCATATACTGTGTTGGCTAGTGGACTGCAATTTAACAGCCAATGTTTTCTCCACATGCTTCCATTCAAGTTGACTGACAAGAATTAGAAGAGTTATCCAACCTATTAATAAATCATATATTTGTGCCCTGCATTTAGGTCTGAGCCAGTGCAGATAAAACACAAAATTTACCAGTACTATTTTGAGTAGTTTGTTTATATAAAGATGATTATTCATTACAATACAGATTGAACTCAGAGTTTAGGATTTTTAGACCTAAAAATCTGATTGAATTTTTTTTGGTATTTTGATTTTTTGACCCTTATCAAACATTCCCTTGCAGTGTTGGAAATCCAAACACTACAGCATTGTGCTGGTGTATCAGAAACAGAGAGTGAAACTGACCAGTCTAATTCATTGCCCAAGCTGAGAGAGATGCAAAAATTAAAAAGCGTTAAGTGGTGGAAAGGAAATTTTGACTTAAAAAAAAACGTTTAATCAACAGTTTTAGTTTTTCAGGTAAGGGAAAAATCAAATGCTTTTATCTTGAAAATGTCAGAAATTCATATTTTAAATAAGCTTGGAAAACTTTCCCTGAAGAGATGCTGTCAGATTCATGTTCTCTGTGTAAAATTATCCCATTTTTAATTATATAAACTTACATTAGGAGAATGTGCCAATATAAAAGTTATTACTGAAAACTGTTTTGGTCAAATTATCAACCAAAAATATAGTTTTCTTTGTAAGCTCTTTTTGGTCATTTTTCCTGCAATTTTACTTTACTTGTAACATATAGACCTGTCCAACTCAAACAATATCATTTTATTTCCATTTTCCTGTAATGGGGAAAATACATTTAGTTTGCATCTTACCCCCACCTCCACCCCACTTATATGTAGCTCGTATGTGTAACATTGCCATTTAATATTGCCAAGAAACAAATGATGGACAGGTGAGGTCTAAAAGGAGCTTGTTTACAGACAAGGCAAAGCTTTCTAGGCTTTCAGTGCAAATAAGAAATACATGACTGTACATGGTGATGACTGTTGTGGTCATATACACGCTCCAAGAAAATAAGCGTTAGCATGCAAAATTTGTGTTATCTGTAGGAAGGGCAGAAATAATCCTGGAGACCGCTGAAACTATGGCTTCATCTCTAAAGGGATGCTGCTGCTAGATCTGACAGAGACGCTGAGTGAAAATTGACCCAACCTGTCACTTTTCACATTTGTTCAGAATCCTGGTCAGTTTCACTTCTCAATTGTGGAAAGGTTGCTGTGAAGAAGCCACATGTTAAATTGGTACAATAAAAGGGCAGTGTTGCTTGGGCAGCTGGAAACTAGTGAGAGAGCTGAACTAGTCAGAAATTAATTGCCTGTTCTATACGCTAGCAGCAAGAGAAATGCTCCTTGTTTTCCACATCTAGGAAAAGTTGAGCACTGTCAAGTTTGCCAGGCTGAGCTGGAGGCTAAAGGATGAAATTGATCTTAGCTGGAAATATATGTGGAACTGCTACTGCTTACTTTGGTTAACTACATTTTGGTATATGGTAAAATGTTTGCTCACTCATGTTTTCTTATTGTAGGTGACACATTATAAACAATATCCACCCAATACAAGCAAGGTGTATTCCTACTTTGAATGTCGTGAAAAGAAGACTGAGAACTCCAAATTCAGGAAGGTGAAATATGAGGAAACTGTTTTTTACGGGTTGCAGTACATTCTTAATAAATATTTAAAAGGTATTTAAGAATACAATTTAAAATGTATTACTTGTAAAAACATTCCATACTTTTTTGCTGAACTATTTGGTAGGAATAGGTTTAAAACTGTTTTAATTCAATCTATGCATCCACGATAACAGAAAAAGATTTTTAAATTGTAATGCACTATGGAACTATTCTAACTTCTGAATTAATTGCTCCCAGTTACCTAAATGTGTCTTGCATGAAAATTGCTGTCTCAGAGAAATCATCTTGCTGTGTATTATCTATCTAGTAAAGTAGTGGTTCTTCCTGCATTTTAGGCCGGAGCCAATCCCACCCCTTCTTCTGAAGGTCTTTAACTAGATGCAATAAATCTGCAACACATGTTTTATACATCCTATGCACAGTCAGACAAGGAAAAATATGTCGTATGACTTTTAGCAATCTTTTGCTACCCATGGTGGCAGAAACATGCTGGGAATTTTAGAACATTTTTGTCTAAACACACAGAGCTTTGTTATCATTGTGATAAATTATAAATTGGGATACATGCTGTCGTCAGGTGAACTGAACATAAATGTTCAGATACTGAAAAATGAGAATTAAAGAATAAACCAAGCAGAGCAATATGGCTGTTTGTCACTGGATTCACTTTCAAAAAGAAAGACCATGTAATGTAAACTTTGCATATGTTGGTTTTTGACATGCATTTTTAAACATGTCAGAACTTGCTTTAAATAGCTTTTAAAAATGTGGCAAAGGATCTCTTTTCTACCTGTTTTAACTATTGGCTAAATTTAAGGCTTATGTGTAAAATTAATTCCGTGGAAGAGAGACAAGATGTAAAATTTAAAGGTTTTCTCCTTCTCTGTTTCTTCACTTATCCCAGTGGCTTAAATGGTCCCTTCCAATTTTATGGTTCTGCGTAATGTAATAGAAGATGCTATATTAATGTTATGCTCTTTATTTACTGGAATATGTTGCTGCAGTGTTGATATCCAAATATTTCTACTTACTATTTTGGGTGGGGACCTCAAGATTGGGTCCAAATCTGGTCCTCCTGGATTTCCCAGAAAGCCATGCCCCATTGCCAGGGCCTCATTCTCTTCCCCCACCGCTCATCATTGGTGGTTTCCTTGGGCTTGTGCATTCCTTGCCCTCATTCTAAATGCTGAAATGCTTCTTGTAAAGTTTAGGAACTGGCAACAAGAATGTTAAGCTACAATATGCTGGTAATTTTGTCTTTAGCACCATCACTATAGGAATATAGTTTCCAAGAGCGTCTTCAAAATGGAATTCAGTCCCCTCAACTAAAAGATTTTCCCCACTCCTGTAGTATCTAATATTTAAGAGGCCACAGTTCTGCTATGTCTAAAAGAGATGGTGGATCATTTGTCGCCAAGCCCTAATATTCCACACTTGTGCAATGCGTGAATGGTAAAACGTTAGCTCTCTAGCTGCTCCTGGATGAGGCAGATGATCTAGATCCCATTTCAGTCTGACTTCAGGCCTGGATATAGGATAGTGAGAGTTTTGATTGCCTTGGATGATCTACACTAAGGAGCTAGACAAGGGAATGTTTTCCTTTTAGTTCTGCTAGATCTCTCTGTAGATTTCAGTACTTTTGCCCATGATAAGCTTTTTGTATAATCTAGCTGGGATGGCATTTGGAAGCACCATTTTGTGGCAGGTCCAATCTTTCCTAGAGGCACATTCTAAGATAAAGGTGCTGGGGAAATTCCTGTTCAGCTGTTCAACAGCTACATTTTATTTACCTTCTTGTTTTCCTGTTTTGATGTCTTGTATTTTGCTGCTGCTAAGTCTAAGAAAACTACCTCCAAATAACTTGGACAAATATGTGTTGAATCTAAAGCATAGTGTTCGTTTTTAGTGTGATATTTATGAAAAGCCCTCTTGTGGAGCCTTCTGGTTTATCACGTTGACCCCTGCAACTGCAGGAATAATAATAGCCTCCTTTGTGTAACATGGACTACAGCGAACTTTTTTCTGTTGGCATGCAGCTGTCTTCCTTAGATCATCATTTTCATACTGATCAGTCTAATGCCCAGTGTTTGAATCTTAGGAACAATATTGGGGCAATCTTTTTCTCATAATATGGGGGTAACCAAGCATAAAACATAAGATTTACTATGTGAAAATTACAGCCTGCTCTTGATCACTTTACATTGCTGTCATAATTCTCTTATTTCAGATGGTTACTTACAATTAGTGATAAGCATGACTATTTTGCATTGGACCCTGTTAGTAAAACATAGATTTGGATGTACGTCCAATTTTAACCAATTTATTCTGCTTTGAAATAAGCAGTCTTTTGTGAACAAGGTGCATACATCCCTATTCTGTCCATGTTTACTTGGAAGTAAATCTTACTGAGTTCAATAGGATATATTTCTAGTTGCAGCATAAATCTGTTACTAGACCAGAAAAAATTGCCCTGGCCAGGGTCAAGAATTTTTCATACATAATTTAGTCAGCTGCATAAAGTCAGCTCTATAAAACACTAAATGATCATGCCCAAACCGCTTTGAGTAGGCATTCTTATGTTTCAGTAGGTACTTGTATACTGTTATCAGACAACTTAAGTTGTTTCTCATCACAGGCAAAGTGGTAACCAAAGAGAAAATTCAGGAAGCCAAAGAGGTATACAAGGAACACTTTCAAGATGATGTCTTCAATGAAACAGGGTGGAACTACATTCTTGAGGTAAAAATAAATTCAGTGAACTCTTACATTTAGGAAAACTTTTTAAAAGTTAGCTGTCGGCTGTGGGGTCTCAGTTGGCAAATGCTTAGTTTTTAAATTCAGTTTGATAGGGCTAGCAGGTATTATTGTATGGAAGAAACATCCAAAGAATAAAGCAATAATTATCCTTTCAAATTTTAAGTAAGGATTTTCAGGTAAGAGGGATTAGTTGTCCCATTCAAAAATGTGTGGGAATTGGGCAAATTTGGTGGGCCAGTTTACATGTAGAAAATAAAGGATGATGACTTCTCACAAAGCTTTATTTGTGCTATGAGTGAATAACTCATGGCAATTTCTGCGTAGCTGGTAGTATAAGAAAATGAGTTGCATCTTAAACATTATGCTCCTTAAAGCCAGAAGTGAGTTGACAGTTTTTCTAATGGATCTGTATCTGCTTATGCCTTCCTAAAGAAGCACATTCCACCTTTTGAAACTGGTACTCCAAATTCCTTTTCAAAATCACCATTTTAGTGTTCAAGTGGCATTATGTCTCCTAGACAAGTTGTGGGTTTGAGCCTTGTTAATATGGAGTAATTGCCAGTATTATAACTGAAAGGAGAAGGAAATATGAGGAGGTAAATGTGTGAATTGTTACCTGTAGTGCTGTTTGACTCAAGCCAGACAGTTTTGTAGTAATGGCTTTGAGCAACTTGAGTTAAATGAATAAACTATCATAAAAACTTCAATTGATACTAAAATCTATTTATTAAATCTAATAAAATAAATAGTATTTGACTACTTCCAAATAATTATTGTATATTTTTTTCTTTATATAATAGAAATATGAAGGGTGTCTGCCTATAGAAATAAAGGCTGTTCCTGAAGGCTGTGTAATTCCCAGAGGAAATGTACTTTTCACTGTTGAAAACACTGATCCAGACTGTTACTGGCTAACAAACTGGATTGAAGTAAGTAATGAAAAGCAATGAAAAATTGCCTCTCTGTTATTGAGAGAACTTTCTAGCTTATTGGCTTCCACTTTCCATCAGACTCACTTGTATATTTGAAGCCACCTTAAGGATGCCATTCTGTCCTCTGAAAGGAGCCAGAAGAGAAATACATAATTAAAAACAAGTTATGGTAATGCTGTTGTGCTCCTGTACTTTTAGGCTGCAATTTTACAGTGACAAATCAGTTTTCAAAAGGCATTGTATTAATGTGCTTGAGCCGCCTAACCCCACCCTGCAGTTATCTCTTGTACAACATGTATATTGTGTTCCCTGACTCATAAACTGCTTAATTCCACATTCTGGGGTTGCAAGTCACTTTAGCCATGTTCAGCACAAGGTAGTGCCAAGGAAGCTGTGTGCACAGCTGAATGGAGAGACTATGAGTCCAGGACTGGTGGTTCTTTTAGGCTATGTATATGGTGCACTTTCTTGCTTCTGCCCAAAGGTCAACTGCAGGCTATCAGTTGCTAAGAAGACTATCAAAAGCCACTGGTCCTGATGGCTATATGCTTTATCAGGATCAGAGGCAGCATGCCTGTGTACGCCAGCTGCATAGGCAGAATGGTGCTGTTGCACTCATCCTTCTTGTGAGGTCCTTTTGGCAGCTGGCTGGCCACTCTGTGAACAGAATCTGTACTCAATGGACCATTGGTCTGATTCAGCATGGCTTATGTTCCTGTGATAGTCACATGTATATCCTTGCATACAGCAGTTTGGCAGGCTCCATTTCTGGTTCCTAAGTAAGAGAAGTGGTAACAGGAAAGTGGTTTTCATGTCTTTTTCTGCTGCGTTGAGGTGATGATCATGGGGAAAGATTAATCATTGCTGCCCCCGCCACCCACGGACAGTGACCTGGTTTGCATAGAATTATACCCATTGGTTTAAAAACAAGAGAACTGCTCAGGACTGCTGCCTGCAGTTTGCCTGCCTCTTTGCTTTTTACTGTGCAACCTAGGATCACTCCTTTGTAGATTGTGAAATGTGATGTCTAAACCCAGACTACAGAGCTGCTTACAGGTAAACAATCCAGCAGTTAACCTATGGCATGCTGTTTGGTTAACAATTGGATTTTTTAAGGTGTGAAACAACCTAGTGGTCTGGGTTTGGATATCATGCACCACAACCTGAGAAAGAGCCGATTGTGGATTGTAAGGTAAATGTGAAAGAGACAGGTGCAGTCTCTCTTGCTTATGCACTACAAACCATAATTTTTTAACCAATGGGTTTCTATGTATGAATGGCCACCACCTACCCACACAACCATATATATAGCAGCAGTAGTGGAACAATAGAAATATGGGTGGGTGGAAATAATTCCTCCAAGAGGAAAGGTTATAATATCTAGGGCTCTTTAGGTAAGGTAAAAGGAGTGTGGTAGAGGTGTATATACAGTGGGAGCAGGGAGAGGTCTGTTGTGGTTACTAGTCACTACAGCTTATGAGTATTACCTTTGGTATGCTGGTGTAGAGCGGTCGCTGTGAAACATGAACAGGATGATGCTATTCCACTCATATCCTGTTGCTGGGATTCTCATAGGCATCTTGTTGGCTATTGTGGGAGTTGTACTCTGGGCTAAATAACACTTCACTCTGATCCAGCAGAGTTCTTCAGTTCTTATGAATAGGATCGCTTGTGCATATAATAAATACTGCCATATCTAATGAGATTGCTATGTTGCAGATTACGTTTTCCTTCAGCATTTCACTTTCCCCTGTTTATAGTTACCTTGGATCCAAGGATTGGTGTCTTCGCTCCTATTCATGGCCAATTTTATCTTTTCATAGACTATTCTTGTTCAGTCATGGTATCCAATCACAGTAGCCACAAACTCCAGAGAACAAAAGAAGATATTGGCAAAATACCTACTTGAAACATCAGGCAGTTTAGAAGGACTGGAATACAAACTACATGACTTTGGTTATAGAGGGGTCTCTTCACAAGAGGTAGTACTTGGTTTTTATTAAATGTGAAGTCTTTCTTGCAGAGCAATGCATACTGACAAGTGAAAATAGTGAATGTAATGACTGATTTTGTATGATACAACAACCCACCCAGGCAATACAGCGGATTGGTCATTTTGCAAAATACCCACAATGAGCCTGACAGTAAATTGGGTACCTCCTGCTTTTCTCTGGTCGTATCCCAGGAGACACTGCAAGGACAAATGAATCTCCTGACAGCATTGAGACTCTACAGCTTGATGCAGCGGTCAGGGTCCTTGCTATGCTATGTGAACTTGTGCCTGGATGATGCAACTGGGTTGGCATCCAGCCTCAGCTGGAGCAACATGCAGGGGGTAGCCCCATGCATGTTGCCTCAGCTAAGGCTGGAATTTGACCGTATTGCACTTCAGGGCACAAATCCTGCTTGTACTGTGGGGACAAAGAAGAATAAGAAAGTTGCCTTTGCCCCAGTAAGGCAAACAGGGAGGGCAGGGGAACTGATTGTAAGTCCCACCTCCTGAGATGCTTGGCTCTAGCACCAAGCAAGCTACCATATCCTGCCTGAGAGGTCTACTCTCAGGAAGGAGGCAGGAGTGCCCAGTCTGCTCTACACTGCTGTCTCAACCATGGGGCAGGACTGCATAGCAGTTGTGCATCAGCAACTGGAGAAGTTTATTCCAAGCCACTGACAAGGAGGACCTGTTCCTATGTGCTGAAGTAGTACACATACCTTCAGCCAGGAGAGCAGAACCCCAGCTATCTTTACCAGCAGCTTGAGAGATTTCCTCTTGAGGTGTTGGCATGCATGGCTATTCTGCAAAAAGAAGCTTCTGCCAGTGCTGCTTGGGTACTTTGGAGGCTGCTGTCGGCAAATCTTATCAGGCAGCTGCTGGTGATCGTGCAGCTCCTGCCAAATGGCTTGCTGGCTGTTCGAACTCATCCACAGCAGGGCATATTGTCTGGGTTTGGTCAATTTAACAACCCTAGAACAGTTTATAGGTTCTCAGGTTGGGTTATTTAGGAAAACAAACAAACAAACCTGGGTGACCAAGGCTGTGTTCACAGAACTCGGCAACCCACCAGTGCTAACAAATGATGGAGGGTTTTCATGTCATATGGATCCAGTCAGTGAGACAATTTTGGCACCTCCTCTAATTCACTCTGTTTCATATAAAGTTCACTTGAAAACAGGAATTTATTAAACTTGATCACCATGTACTATGTTGTCTTTTTTCTTACAACTTCATATATTATTTACAATGTCTTATAGCTGCTAATTGTAAAACTGGAGAATCATTTGGAATTATTGTGCATTAAAACAATTTTGGTTGATTGTACTTGTAATTCAATGTGTTCTTCTCAGACTGCAGGAATAGGAGCCTCTGCGCATTTGGTGAACTTTAAAGGAACTGATACAGTAGCAGGAATTGCTTTGATTAAGAAATACTATGGAACAAAAGACCCTGTGCCGGGCTATTCTATTCCAGCTGCTGAACATAGGTAACTTTGTATTATCTTGACATTTTATATGTAGCATCCCCATTCTTCCTACATTTGCAATCAAGTTGGATTAGTTGAAGCTGTGGTCCTACTGCAGGTATGAATACCATAACAAATATCCTATTTTAATTCTTTTAAAAAGCTAATATGCATAAAATTGTAACAGTTAATCAGCAGAATTATGATACCAAGTAGCAGCAAGTCCCTACTGATTCTGCTGTTAGCATCCAATTTTCTACATGCCGTTGTTTTGCATTATTGGAATATGCAGTGGGGTGTTAACTTCAGTAGTTGCAAAGTTCCATGTAAGGAGTTAAATGTTAAATTTGGTATACTTAGTATGTTCCTTTTTTTAGGCAGTGTCCACATCATATGATGAGGGTTATTAAAGGAGTAATGGCTGGTCTGCTATTTTTAATTAAGAATTGAACACCTCCTTTGTGAACATATTTAATTTTTCTATCACCTATTAAATTCTTCAACAATAATGTTAAAAAATCCTGCATTTGTAAGTAGAGGAGCATGTTGTAGACTTGCATTGCTTTAGCATAGTACAAGGGGTGTGGTGTTCAATCTGTTAGAAATCAATCTGTTAACACCGTAATAACTTGTAGGTAGAATTCATAGAAAAGGAGCAGTGGATGGCTAAACTAATTCTGATGTCGAGGTTTTTACCTATATTTAGCATTTCCAGTTCCTTTTAATACTCCATAAAGTTTCTTTATTTAGGTATTCAAAAGATAAAATTGTTTTTCCATCTGTTCCTGGATTGAGGGTACTGTACTTAAGGGTACACTACAACAGTTCTTGCACTGTTAGAGAGGCTATGGGTACTATTGTCAAATGCTGTTTCGTGTATATAGAAAGAATATAGTGGGGGCAATAATGTACCATAAAATTGGTATTTACTCTGATCAGTTACACAACTGCCATGAAGCAATCACACCAAGTATGTGACTATAAATCCTGTAGCTTAGGTGGAGAACCTCTAACGTCTGGGTCCTGCCATCCAAGTTTGGCCATTAGGGTTTCCCTGATGGTTATGCCCCCTTTTCCTGTCTATACGCCTTTCTCTGACAATGAACATTGGTTGTTTCCTGGCTTTTGCATCATTTTTCCATTGTAAAAAGTTGACAGACTAAGACTTGCCTACATTCAGTAGAAGTGTCAAGTGCATGTCATTATTTTTGGTGTTTGGCCTTGCCTTCTATGTTTTCGGCCCATATCCATACCACTACTGGAATGTATTTCCCTTCCCACCTGCTGAGAACTTATCTGAAGTTGAACTCATCACTTAAGCTTAAAGAAGTTCCTTCATCCTTCATGTCGCTTATCTGTCTTTTAACTACAGATTATTGTATTGTTGAATAAAAAGCGTCTTCTGTCATGTGACCCAAAATCTGGTCCTTGCTATCATTCATCCAGAATATATGCTAGTCTTGACATCCTGTTTGCTTGCACTGCTTCCAGAATGTTAATTATTCTACTGCATTCCCTACTACTAAAGTGCCTGAGAGAACTTGCTTCAATATATGGGCTTCCCTGGAACTGGTTTTATTAAGCTATATATTCAGCATTAGTCCTTTTTTCTGAAGAAATCTGAATATGCTATAGAGGCGGATAGATTAAATGTAAATATAATGTTCCTGGCCTAATTTATCTTGGTATTCAGGCAGCTTGCATGTATACATGCAATCGATCTTTGGCTGAACATTATTCCTGCTACTTGGCTTCTGCCCCCTCAGGTTATTTTGGGGTAACCAAAAATAGTGAAGACAGTGAAGATCCTAGTTGAAGACAATGGCTAAAACCTTCTCATATGAGTGAAAACAGCATGTATACTTGCAACATTTTAGAAACCCCCACTGACCGAAACCCATACAAGTTTATGGTTTAATAGAAGTAGCATAAAGAATATGAATCACTGTATTTGCATAAGAATAGATTACAGTTGCATAATGCAATAATACAATGCTCAAAGAGAAATACACACATGGGCGTATATGCAAACTCCTGAACCAAGTTAATAAAAATTTCCTGTTCTTCTAGTACTATAACAGCTTGGGGGAAAGACCATGAAAAAGATGCTTTTGAACACATTGTGACACAGTTTTCTTCAGTGCCTGTATCTGTGGTCAGTGACAGTTACGACATTTACAATGCTTGTGAAAAAATATGGGGCGAGGATTTAAGGCATTTAATTGAATCAAGAAGTGCAGAAGCTCCACTGATTATTAGGCCAGATTCAGGAAACCCTCTTGACACTGTGCTAAAGGTAATGGCTTAAAACTTATCTTCTGATTTTGACCTTAATGAATGGTGTTCTTAAGGAAGAACTTGTTTTTTTTTTTTTTTTAATCTAATTGGTTGGACTCTGACTTGGTTGCATGCAGCTGTACTGCCAGGGATGCAGAGAGTTTCCTGCCCTCTCCTCCCCATGGAAGCTCCCCTACTTCCTCAAGAGAATCTTGTTGAACGGGGTATGATATGGGTAGAAGGGGGAGTCCACAAAAATTGGGTAGAAGCACCTTTCCTGCAGTTCCAGAGCCATGCATCCCAGTATCCAGTTTCAGCTGTGATCCCATCATTTTAATCCTGCTCATCCTTTTAGTGAGCTGCTCATGAAGTGATTATTGTTCTTCCCTTCCACTCCCAACTATCATGGCTTAGGTAGTGAAAAGATTATCTGAGTTAAGTGAACTGTGAGTTAGTATCTTCTCTGCATAGTAGTGGTCTCTTTTAAGCTGTAATAGAAGGGGCATATGGCATTCCTAAACTCATCTGTTTCCAGAACTGGAGTTTAGAAAGGCAGTGTTCTGAATATTCTCCGGAATGTTGGAATTTCAGGTTTGGCTTTCAGAAATTCAGATCACAGAAATGCTTTGCATGTATGGCACTTCTGCTTAGCCAATGAAAGTTAATGATTTCAGTTTACTAACACAATTGGAGTGTTTGATAACTTCAGCAGAAACATTTATGATTATTTATCATCAAGAACAAATATGAATTTATCTGGTTTGTTTAAATTAGCATCGGCCCCAGCAGGCAGATGCTATATAATGTAAATACCTTCCTGAAAGTAGATTTGCAGTTGTATTTATTTGCTTTAAAATATTTATGTAGTCTGCCTTTCCAAGTTCAAAGAAGCATACAGCAATTTTTTATAATTTATATAATAAAACTAAAAGTGAACACCAAAACCACGAATATTAAAGCATAACATAAGAACATGAGAAGAACACATCTCCCCACCCCCCTCCCACCCCCATCCAAGCAATGGAGGCTGATTGGTTTTACAAAAATATCTGAGGGCCAGGAGGGAAGAATACCAATAAAACCTCCTGAGTGAAGGACTTTCAACAAAGTAGTATTGAATAAATGACATCTGGAGAATTGCTATCTGTTGAGGATCCAGTATTGAAATCTTGGTTGGCTTTTAATATCTCAGTCTGGTCTCTGCTTCTAGACATAGGGAGCTGCCTTACACCACGTTAGGCCACTGGTTCATGTACCTCAGTAGTGGGCCAGATATGGATTTCCAGGCCTCACAGTGTGTATCACCTGATTTTCCCCAGGTCACACCCCCTTACCAGCCCCACTCCAGGTTATGAATATTATTTACTCTGTCCTAGAGCTACAAAGTTGAAGGAGGGAACACTGCACAAGTTGTAGAATGGGAATGCCTGAATACAAGTATTTGAATGGTGGTTGTCAAGAGTCATATCTATAACTGCCTACTTTTGGTTCTGGATCCACCCAGTTTTGGCTCTGGCTTTGTCTGCTGCTGGAATGTGGATTCCAGCAGGTTTAGATTGAGGTAATGTGGCCCTTCACAGGAAGGTTTCCCCAGCCCACTCAAGAGTAACTTGCAGCAACTCTGCATGGTTACAGATGGGTCTTTTCCAGCCCTAACAAGATTCTGTGGATTGATGGTGGGCCCTCCTACATGTAACACATCTGCTCTTCCACTGAGTCTTTCCCCAAGGTATCCTTCAGAGCACAGTTCAGTATAATGACTGAGTTTGCTTGTTTTTCCTTTTAGAGATTTGAAAGACACAGCTTTGTTCTCAAAGGGCTTCCAATATGTGTGTGACTGAATTGGCTTATTCAATGGAATAATATTCTAAATTGATTAACTTTTTCTGCTTTCTGCAGGTTTTGGAAATTTTAGGAAAGAAGTTCCCTATTACAGAAAATGAAAAAGGCTACAAAGTGTTGCCTCCTTACATCAGAATTATTCAAGGAGATGGTGTTGATATCAACACATTGCAAGAGGTGCGGCCTTTTTCTTATAATATGTGGACAGCTACTTCAGCGACTGTTCTCAAGTTGTAGTTGAATTAGATGTTAGAAAAAAGTACTTTAAAGCACTTAACCTCCTGGTTTTCATAATATATTTTGCAAATATAGAAAACATGTTTTCTTGAAAAATACAGTTTGGCTTATTCCCAGGAAGGTATATATAGGATTGTAATCCATGGATTGGATTGGATTGAATTGTGAAAGTTAAACATGTTTTTAATTAACTATGTTCATTAACAAACTTGAGATCCCTCTCAGGTGTCTGAGGCTGCAGCCCATTTTTATAGTGATTCTGGTACTTGAAGGATGGTTTCAGAAGGTGGAGCTGGAGAATTCCTGTTCAATGCTCCCAGGATCCCCTCTTGTTCCAAGCTATTTAACACATACATGATACCACTAGCAAAGGGTTATATGGAATGTTGAAGTTGGGTAGCCCAGTATAGTGATGATGCCCAACTCGATCAGTCCTTTCCATTTAACTCCAAGGAAACCATTCTGGTTCTAAACCTGGCTCTGATCTAATGATGGGCTGGAAGATAATGAAGAAGAAACTGAAACAAGGCAGAGGTGCTCTAGATTAGTCAAGAGGAAGATCACAGAACAAGGATTCAAACAGTGCTGAATGGGGTTATACTCCCACTAAAGAATCAGGCTTGCAGTTTGGGTGTACTCCTAATTTCAGCACTGAACTTGAATGCCCAGGTTTTGGCAGTGGCCAGAAGTGCATTTGCATAGCTGAAGCATGCACACACTAGCTCTGCCTAATCCTGGGGTTATTGGAATTGGCCACAATCACAAATACCTTAGTTACTGTGACCTACTTTGTGTGTGGCTGTCTTTGGAAAGTATTTGGGAACATCAGCTAGTCCAGTTTGCTGCATGTTGAGTAGAGAGGAAGCTCCTGATTTAAAGGGAGCATATGACTCTATTGTTACAACAGGTTTGGTCTGTGCCTGGGCATAATTTAATGGTTATGGCCTGCAAGCCCTATAAACTTGAGATCTTGGTACCTGAAAGACCATTTTCTATACAAGTCTACCCAGTTTTTAAGATCTTGGAGGAGATCTTCATTTTGTTCTCACCACCATTGGAAGTGCATCAGACAAGGGCAGGAAACCAGGTTCTGGAACTTGCTGCTGAGAGAGGCTAAGTTAGCCTCTGTTGTCCCTGTTTTAGCAGGCAAAGACGTTTTAATTCATATTTTTGTACATGTGTTGATCTGTTGCTAAAGGAATTCTAATGGTTCTTTTACTGTGTTTTAAGTTGTGTTTTTATGTTTTAACTATAATCTTATTTTTAACTTTATTTTATTTTAATTAGATGCTTTGAGTGTCAGTTTGGCAGAAAAGTGGGATATAAATGAATTGAATACACATGAAATAAAAATTAGATATGCTGTATCTTAAGTATTCTTTAAAAAGCTAATGCAGACACATTTATATTTTGGAGCGAAACAACTTTAAAGCAGATGCAACCATCTTTAATCATAAACATTTTCAAAGAACAACTAAATATACTAGGTAAAATTTTGGTCTATAATTCCTTCTACCCCTTTCAAAAACCAATCAAAAGGGGTTCTGTGTGTATTTCCTGAAATGACACATGCTTACTTTAAGGGTTGATTTAGGCCCACATACCTTGCAATACTGAACCCTCTATGCCATCCTATTCCAGAAGCTACATAATCTGTTGGCTTACAAAAAAGATAAACAACATGAGATAGAATAACATTAAAAATTCAGAGCATCTTGGCAATAGTTTAAAACCAATAAATAAGAACAATAATTAACAATTAAAATATCGTTTAAATAAAAAGGTCTTGGCCTGACGCCAAAAAACATAACGATGGCGCCAGGCAGACCTCTCTGGGGAGCGCATTCCATAGGTGGGGCGCCACCGCAGAGAAGGCCCTCCTCTGGGTACTCACCCTCCTAATATCCTTCACAGAGGGCTCCTGGAGAAGGGCCTCCTCCGCCGATCTCAGGGGGCATCTTTGTTTTAGATGGCTCTAAAATGGAAAGATGGCTGTGCATGGACCTGGACTGGGACTGCTGCATAGGAGGTTTAGCTCTTCTCCGTGCACTGTTTTCCTGTTAAAACTCTCAGCTCCCCAACAATAGCTCTTTACACCCTGTTTCAAATAATGGCTTTGAGGAGGTGGTGGCAGTGGGATTTTCAACAGGAAAACAGCAAGGGAAGAGATTTTAATTAGGGTTAGCACCCCTACACACAGTGCCCCTACTGCTTGAAAAAATAGCTCCCTCTCCCTACATTATCTAGCTGTCTTATATAGTTTACAAATGTAATAACTCGTTTGAGGTTCCAAAGCAGATAGCAGAAATACGTTTTTAAGGGAAAAGAGCAGGCTCTGGGGGAGCAGATGCAGTCAGAATACGGATTCTGTGAAATGAAATCATCTCTACTTTCTCTGCCATACACTGTTCTTTCTCTCCCATTAGCTTTGACTGCTGCATATTTGCATAGAAAATCCAAGGGACTGCTGAAAGGAAACCTGTTAGGAATGTGTGTACAAGCTTAAATCTTTTTGTGCTTGACCTATAATTAGGATATAAATGAAGAGACAGGTCTGAAAAGCAGATCTCATTTCCTTACAGTTTTTGCTAAAGCTCCCTGCATAATGTCTCCCTGCATAACACAACCTATAGGGTTGCACAGCTGTGCCCCTGTCCCTAAGTTTGCATGTTTCCCCCATCCCTGACCTCCATGGGTCATGGATAATTTTTGAGCTGGAGCTAGACTTCCTTGGGCTGAAGCTCACATGGTTCCAACTCTTGGGGGATGATTGAGCGTGTAGATCTGCCCAACTCCAACACTTGTAGCTATTTGGAACAGGGACGCTATGCAACTTCTGGTGACAGGGCCAGCACCATGGCCCTGCAGTTTGTTTTAATTATGTAATACCCTTTCATGCTTATCATGCATAAATGGAACTTCTGAGAAACATAATTCTAAGTAAATGTTTTCTGCCTAACAACTGTAGAGAAAGTATCTAAATTCATTAAACTAGATCTTAATAACTCAGTGATCTCTAAAACTAATGCACAGCCACTCTTAATTGTAGGATAAAAATATAGTTCTATACTTCTGTCCTATTCCTTTTACTTAATTTGGTGGAACATAAATTAAATTCTCCTTTCCTTCTAGAAATTGTTTGCAAGATAGTCATATTATAAGAAACTGTCTTTTCCCCTCTGGTATATTAGACATTCCATGAATATGTGTCCATGCCTCTTTGAAATTCATAGACCCAAGAAACAGGATTTTTCTTGTTATTCTGACTGATTTGCTAAAAAAGGGGTGTTATTGAAAACACACAAAGTCTAGGTAGTAATTCCACTAAACTTTGAAAGAAACTTAACATTTTTCTACCTGTTTTGTTTTAAAGAAAAACAAAGACCGCAAACATCAAGTAGAAAATGCAGTATGCTTATAATCCGTACATACGGAATACTTCACAGAAGGTGAAGGTGTACAGGATGCAGTTTGCATCCCCCTGCACCTTCTTAAAAAGCTAATCTGGAGATGCCAGTTTTTGGAACTATAGACAGGGAGGTGAATCAGCAATGCTCCATGAGAGATTTTTAAAAAATTATTAACAAATCTTTGAACACTGATTCATTTCATCCAGCAGAAACTGATGTACAGGCTTTTCTAGCTTTGCATGTGTAAGTAGCAGTTAACCTGTTGGAAAGATTCCTTTATTTTTATTGGTTACATTCCTTTTACAAAATTCATAGACCCAAGGCACCCCACATTAAGGAAGGCACCCTGTTAACCTTTCACACAGCTATGATAAGGGTCAACCCAGCCAATCTCAATGCTTGTATGAAAAAGCAGCTATAATAGGCAAACTACAGATGTTTTTGCCACAGTAGCTGTGATCTGGGCAATATTTCCCACATTAATAAGAACTTTCATGTGAAAAAAGAAAGATTGATTTTGTGAACCAAGCCTGTCTTTGAGGGCTAAACACATTTGCTGGAAATTATGGCAGAAATTCTATACAAATTTGCTCGGGAGGAAATCCTGTTGAACTCAGTCAATCTAAGTAGGCATGCATAGGATTGCAATGCAGGTCATGCTGATATTTTAAAACTTGGTTCAAAATAAATGTGACTTGATAGAAACAGGTGTGTATAATACCAGGTTTTAAATAACACCAGGCTGCACTTCAGATCTTTCACTTTGGAGGGCTATAAGGTTTTAGACATCTGAAAATCTACTTTGGCAACTCTGTCTAGAGTAACTTTAGTTTAATTTTATGCAATATATATACTTTAACAGTTAAAATGTTAAAATAATCTTTACAATTTTAACTGTTCGATACTTTTTATAACAAAAACTTAAGATTTTTTTACTTTATTACATTTCTGTACTGCCCTATAGCTAAAGATGTATTGAAGACAACATGGTAGACAATCATAGTAACTAAACCAAAACTAATGGTAAACAAAGGCTAACATGCCACAGGTCTAGAAGGCTGGATAATCCTGTAATGCTTGAATACCACCAATATTGGAGAGATGTTTAATATACACAAACTGCCCATGTGAGCAAACATTGGCTAAAGAGAGAAAGCAGTTTGTCCTTTGTTGGAGCAAATAAATAGCACATGTACAGATTGTAAAGTAGACTTATTTAACTATTTCAGATGAGACTTTTAAATATTCTGACATGCTAAGCCAGGGCAGTCCAATTTTTCAAACCTTGAGGACCCCTTGAGGACTTCAGCACAGAACCTGGGGACTGCACAGTGAATTACAGGCAGCTCCTTCTGTGACCACAGATCAAACATAATGACTGCTCTTTTGGGGTGGCCCATCCCTTTCTTCCTTGTTTCTCCTGCCCAGAACCCTTCCCATGTGACACCCCCCCAGGCCCTCCTTCCTTCTTGGAATTGGCACACTGAGCCAGCCTCTTGTAAGATTTGAGCTGACAAACCCTCCCCAGCATGTCCCGTCTACTCCTGGAATGGAGTGGGGCAAGCTCTTGTGAGCCTGACCAAGAATAGAACCTCAAGAATAGAACAGGAACCTCAAGAATAGAACAGGATGGGCCAACAGCCTCAGGAGAGCTCGCTTCAATCATGTTCATGCCATCACTGAGATCTGTGTTGGGGGGTGAATGGGGGGGGGGGGACCAAAAGGCAAGAGGGCCATAGAACAAGGCCTCAGGGGCCAGGCCTTAGACCACGCAGTGCTAATTATTAACCACTCTTATATTTTAAACTCAATTCCCATAAAAGACACCTCTCTCTGAAACAATACTGTGATGTATGTGTAATACAGAAAATGTACCTTTTTTTGCCAAGCTCTTAAAATACTTTCTATCATTTTCAGATGGTAGAGGGAATGAAACAAAAGAGATGGAGCATTGAAAACATTGCCTTTGGATCAGGTGGAGCTTTACTACAAAAATTAACTAGGGATTTCCTGAATTGCTCCTTCAAATGCAGTTATGTGGTCACAAATGGACTTGGGGTAGGTTCTTTAAATACTGTTTTCACATTGGGACAGAAAATGAAACCATTGATTTCACTTTTCAGTGTGTGTATAAGCTCATTTTAAAAGGAGAACGATATTTTATTCACTACATCTTTTATTTTGAATTCTAGGTAAATGTCTTTAAAGATCCTGTAGCTGATCCTAACAAAAGGTCAAAGAAAGGCAGGTTGTCTTTACACAGGACACCAAATGGACACTTTGTCACTCTAGAAGAAGGCAAGGGGGATCTTGAAGAATATGGGCAGGTAAGTATGCCTTAAATCATTGACTTTAAATTGTTTAATTTCAAAGTCTTCAGAACATGAGGGAAATACCTTGCATAACTTGCTACAGTGCTTTAGAGGACTATAAAGCCCAAGACATACTCTAATAATTTGAAGACTCATTTAAAATGGACTGCCATTGGAACAATGGATTTAACACCCAAGGCATAGGAAACTGAACAAACTACATGTTTCATTAACGTAGTCTTTTTCAGATAACCTTTGTAAGTGTTTCATTCTTCTAGTATAGTATACCCATTGCTTTAAAGTTGCTGTTTAACTTATTCCTAAAAGTATTACTATACTGTTGTGAGTTCTTTAGTCATCAGTTGCTTTGTCTTTGCTTCCAAATATATATTAGGTTGATAAAACGTAATCTTACTTACATAATAACAAAAAAGGTGACGTCCATGGTAGATCGTCTTTCCATTTTGGCTGAGAATCAAAGACTGGCCTAAACTCATCCAGGAACTTGATGCTGAGTGGGGGATGAGAATCTGCATCTCCCAAGCCCTATTCCAACACTCCAAACATTATATGTACCACACTGGCTATCTCCATACCTGCCCCACCACCAAATATACCAACCTATCATCCATGTAGCAACTATGTTAATTGGTCTAAAGGACTGCCAGTCCCATTCATAATCTTGGTCCACACACATTTTTGTCCTTAAAGGCTACAGTTGCCAGCATGATAACTTCACATTGGCCAAGTGTTTAGAGATGTTTAAAATGAGCACTGTCCAGAGAAACAAATGATCTGTTAAGTATGTGGACAGGTTAACATCACTGATATATACATTGCTTGCTTACGATAGTTTTGAAGGTCGATTTGTGTGAACCAGCCAACACAATTACCCGGTGACGCTTATGATGCAATAGTTGGAAGAAGATCACACAATTGTAGTAAATCATAAAATCAGCTGAGAATAACAAGACATGTGATAAGTATTGTGTCTTAACACACTGCTAAACTTCAGCACACTTAGGATCTATGCAGCTGAATGATTTCAAAGTTAAAACTCTAGGTTTCTGGAGCAACCCTCCTAAAATGAGATCTAAGAGCCTAGCTACACATTATATTTATAGCATCTCATGTGCCATGTTTTGATTGCCTGTATCCAGACTTCATCATGCTTTGAACAGAGCCACTGAAATTTATTGGAGGAGTCCCATTGATTTGGGTGGCCCTAATTTAAAACATGACTAAGCCTATATCTAAACCAGTATTATCTTCCCTTTAGTGGTTCATTGTCCCTGCTCCTGCCGTCAGTCTCTAGGGGCAATCACCTTCTTAATGGGAGGTAGCATAAGGAGAGACAAACAGATGGCAAAAGGTGGCTTGCAGCTTCTGCTTTCCTGTGTGTTTTACCTAACCCACCTGTCTTAGGGGAGCTTTAAAATCTTCAGTAGTTACAGCCTTGCTTCCATGTGGGAAAGGGCACTGTTCTGTGATAGAATAGATGCTTTACATTGAGAAGGCGCCAGGTTCAATCTCCAAGTAAGGCTGGGAAAGAACCCTATGTGAAAGTCTGGTCAGCTTAGACCTGCCTGTCCCAGTGTTGTGTTCTTCAGATGTGTTGGACTGCCGCTTCCATGATCCTTATCCATCATTTTGTCCACACTGGCTTGGGAAGACACCTGGAGAGTACCAAGATGGGAATGCTGGTGCAGATAATACTGAGATAGATGAACCAATGGCTTCGTTCACTGTAAGCCTGCTCTGCATGATTAATAATATGCAGTCAGGCTTTAAATATAGTGAGCTCTTGTGTGAGGGTCCATATTGGGCAGGGTAGACTCCTTGACATATGGGCAGATGAGATGTTTTCCTTTTTTAATGGAAACTGAAAGAAACTTGTGTTTGTTTACAGGACCTCCTTCATACAGTGTTTAAGAACGGAGTAGTAATGAAGTCTTACTCATTTGATGAAGTAAGAAAAAATGCCAGGCTGAAGACTAGTGAACTGACAACGGCATCTCACTAAAGTTTCATTCCATGTTTGTAGATGTGTAACAATTATGTACTGCTAATGGTTTCATGTAGAGGTCTGTGTGTTTTGTGTTCGCCACATTATAGCCAAATTATTTGTTGGTTTATGGACATCACTGCCCTATCTTCTTTTTTATTTTTTTGCCAGTCTTTAGAAAAGATGGAATTGGAGAAATATTTGCAGCTTAAAACAAGTTCAGTGTACTTCTAAGGACCCCTTTGCCAGTAGTGATTCAATCTGGTATTGATCTCCTCACTAATGAGACAGAGATGAGACTTTTTATATATACATACACACACACACACATATATAGTAGCATACCACAAAGCAGATTTGCATAAAATATCATTGCTTTATGTTTATATTTAACTTGTATTTTTGTACAAAAAGATTGTGTAAAATATATTTAAAGTTTCAATAATTACGTCTTTCCAACTTTTCATGATTTTTATGAGCACAGACTTTCAAGGAAATATTTGGGGATGGGGGAATGCATTGCCTTTTGTCCATTGATCAGCAAATAAAACATGGCCTTACGTTTTATTGTGACAATTGTACTGTTTGAAAGTTTTAATCAGGATTAGCTCACTCAGATTCCACAGAAAAATAGACATCCCTGTACATTGTAGTTATGTCATTTGAGAGCTGAATTTCTGTTCTTACTGGAATTGTGAGGTACTAAATAGAAATAAATACACAGGTCTTGCTAGAGAGCAAGAAATACAAACAGAATGCCAAATGTGGAAAGGACTTCCTTCTGCAACAAAGTTTGCCAAGTGTATCTCTGTATTCCCAGAGTAAGTCTTCAATCTTGTGCACACCCAAACATGCATGAGATTTGACTGTAAAACTAAGGGACTTCCTTCCACTTACAGAACATACATGTGTAAAATGCTGACATGTATGGAAGTGCTTTATTAAAGTACTACACTTCTGGGTTTATTTTTCCATATAGTATGACAAACTTCAAAGCAAACGGCTCAACTGAACTGGTGCACTCCCCCCCCCTTTTTTGTATTTTCGTCATTCATTTTGCTTTTTTGTCAGAGTGGATGTTAAATTGTATAGACGTCTTAATTTTTTTTTGTTAAACAACTTTAATAAAACATTATACTAGCCAAGCTCCTTTTACATTGATAGCCTCCCCTATAGGGGACACTATGCAGAGGTTAACTCTTTTTAAAACAAGAGGTATTGAAAGGTATTCTTTTCATAACTGCACTTGGTTCACTTTTCTATAGATGTGTTGAATTGATTACAAAGAACAAGTTGATTAGTGAATGACTTGACAAGCTGTTTCACATTCTCAGGTGTATGGCCATACTTCTGGATGGTTTCTAGAAGACAAGGATTTTTATGGCCTTTCTAGAGGAGGTGGTTTAATTTTGGTTTGTTAGCTCTGGTGAGGGATTAAAAAACTGGTCACTGAGCAGGTGGCACTTAGGTTTAAATAATTATCTGCAGAATTCTTAAGAATTGTAATAAAAGGGAGCAAATCAAGGTAAGATTTTTAAAGTGTTGAAAAGCCATATTTTAATATTTTGCTAAATGAAGCTTATATAATTGCCCCAGGGTGGTGTTGTGCCACTTCCCCCCCACCCCAGTCTCTGTAGTATATTTTCTAAATAACGTTTCTACAGCTATATGTGATTATACATGGAACTGAAGTATTATCAGTGATTTGGCTGGTTCTTCTTCGTGGTCTCTCTGCATCTCACATAATGGGCATGCAGCCTGTTTCAGAAAGATTCTATAGCTGGAACATTTTTGGTGGAGCCTCTCCCCTGCCCCAACATGTAGGAGAGGTTCTCACCGAATCCTTCAGCTCTTCTTCAACTGCTGTCATGGGTGCACCAGGAAGTTCTTTCTTTGCATTCTTGTAGTTATCTTTCCCTAGCGAGACCCTCCCAGCCCTTGGTGCCATGAAATACACAGCCCCCTACAAGACACTCATAGCAGTAGTTGACTTGCTACTGCAAAAAGCCATAGAGAGAGCCACCTCCCCAGAGACAACACTAGGCCTTTACTCCAGTTGTTGTACTGAAGAGGTATGGGGGAATCCACCTGATACTGGAGCTCAGGGGCATCAATTTCTACACAGTCCTCAAGAAATTCTGGATGGCCACACTGCAGAACATCCTACTCCTGCTACATAATGGGACTAGTTGACATCAACAGACCTCAAAGATGCTTATTTCCATATCTCCACTGAGGACTCTCACAAACACTTCTCCATTTCCACACTGGAGGCGAGACCTTCGAATTACTGACCTTATCTTTGGGCTTGCCATGGCCCCTGAGTATTCACAGAGTGCATGGCAGTCTACCCCCATGGAGTCCAAGGTCTACAATTAATTGTCATTCCATCCAGTAGACCTTGGTGCAAGCCATCAGTGCCTCATACAAACTGCTTTCTCGACTGGGACTTGACTTAACCTCAGAAAAGTTCACCTTCTTACCCTCTCAGCTGACCTCTTCATCAGGGCCTACCTAGAGAGCATACCTCCCAGACTCCAGAGTGTTTGTGCTGATCAAGACCCCTCAGGCATCCAACCACTATCACCTCTGGAGACCAGAAGATCCTCAGCCTTATGGTAGCCACTGTCACCATCATTCCACTGGCTAGATTCCACACATGCCTCCTGCCACGTCTGGTTCATCAACACCATCTCTGCTGAAGATCTGTAGAGAACCAAACTAAAGATCCTCCAAAACATCCAGCAAAGCCTCCAGTGATGGACCTAAACCCACAAGCTATCCAAAGCAACTCACTAACAATAACTACAGATGTTTCCTGCTCTGGGTAGGAAACCCACTCTGGCTACCTGGTGATCTGAGGAAAGTGGAACAGGACTGATTCCATCAGACATAGAAACTACCTGGAAATGCTCAGTACCAAAAGTCCTTGTGGTTTTCCAAACTCTCCTCAGACTTCACATCCAGATCAACTCTGACAACACCACCAGCATGTTCTGTATAAACAAGCAGGGAGGCACCAGGTCCATCACAATAGCATGTCTAGCACCTGAAATCATGAAGTGGCGCATTACTGACACGGGGATTCCCCAGCTTGACATCTGCAAAGCAGTTGCCTGGTTGAAACGGTCCACCTTTGTAAAGCAGTACCATCTTGACGTATGTGAGCAGAATGCGTCTTTAGCAAAGTGGTTCTGTTTTCCATCCTTCAGTAGCAACAGCTCCTGCTTCCAGAAGGTAAGCTCAGCAGTTTCCCATACGTGTGATGCACAGAGACCACAAATGAAGGAAAGTTGTTTACCTGTAACCAGTTCTCTGAGTGATCATCATGTGCATTCATTCAGCCCATCCTCCTGCCTCTCTTCCGTGTTGTTCCCTGATGATGTAGCAGTCCTAAACTACATTAAAGGCAAGTCCATGAGCAGCCCCCCTTCCTCAAAACAGGAACATGAAGTTTGTCTCATGTCACTCACACTGAGGGATTGGGCAGAACCCTCTCCTACATGCCAGGCTGGGGCGGGGGATCCCAGCAGAGAACATCTGTGCTACAGATTGTTCCCAAAACTGACTCCATGCAGGTCTGGAGCCATGTGAATACACAGATGACCACTTTAAGAACTACAATTGCAGGTTAGCAACCTTACTTTGTCTAAAAGTGACTTCCATGTCCAGAAATAGCCTTCCTTATTCTGATATCGATTTGTCATGGTGAGAAAATTCTGATTAACGGTCATCAAGATATTTAATTCCCTTCAGAATATATGGGGGAATGAATTTATGATACGTAGTACAAGACACCTGGTAAGTGTCCCTCATAACATGTATTTTTGTACTTGAATGCTGTAGAAAGGCAATCTTAGGCACTATGAGTTCCCTGAAAGAATGAGTTTCAATGTTTCTGGGGCACATACATGTTTATGTGTTAGTTAAAACTCTATCTGAATTATCTCAGCTACACTTCATAAAGAATTCTGGGCTCCCACCATCAAGATTCTAATGTTAATAGAGTTGACATCTAAAGCATCACAGTTTGGTGTTAGATAAAACTTACTTTACAGTTGAAATATCCTAATCTGCCATGCAGAAGCAAGCTGCTTGTTTGGTTTTGCTTTAAACAATTAGGTTTGTAGAAATTTATATATATATATATATATATATTTAGTTTCCATTCATAATAGTACAGTACTTGTATTTAGAAATGACAACTGGGAGGCTTTTTGTGTTTTAGAGATAATTTATTTATAATGTGTATTTAACATAGGAAATTTTTATGACTATTTTTTCTCAGAAGAATGGTTATGTCATAGATACGAAATCTTTTATAGCAAAGAATCTCAGAAAATTGAAGATGTATTCATTGTTTGCCAAAATCAAACCATAAACAGAATTTTCTTCAGTAAGAATTTGCTTTCTTACATTCCTTCTTAATCTACTTAGCCAAGTAAGCATTCTTCATATAACAACTGTGTTTCAGTAGCCATAATGTACTTGGCATCAAAGACAAATGTAATGAACATGGAAATAAAGTTTTAGTTCCAGTAGTGAAATTTATAGCTATTTGACTTTATTTTAGCCTTGTGCATTTTGACAAGCAAATGACTTTCGTATTTCTTATGAAACCTCTCTGAGGACAGAGGGAACTGATGCTATAAACAAGGGAAGGCTAGCCATTATATTCCTGGAGGCCATTCTGTTAACTCGCAGTGGAACTCTCTTGGATGATGCTCTATAATCAAGTTGGTACTACTTAGCAGTTACGGATTCACAGGTAAGGAGCCCATGTGTTGGAAAAGTATGAGGCTCCTGAAATACCAAGAGGCAGATTAGGAACAATCCTCTGACTTTCTAGAATATGCATGAAATAACAACTACAAAGCATATGTAATGCTGTCACTGTCCCTTTTCTTGCTATGTCTTCAATAAAGATTGTTAAAGCTATATAGAACCACACAGAATTTATCTGCAAAGCATATTGCCTTCCATAATCCACTTAACTTTATCACAAGGTATTGCTTTTGCAGACAAAGTGAAACTGCAGGCTCCTCATTGTGTGCTCTTGGGAATAAGTGTATTTAGGCACTTTTGAGGACCAAAGGCATAATATAATTTTTCTATATTTGGGTAGGTGCTGTGGTCTGCTACAGTACTTTGTAGTAAGCAAAACAGTGGTAAGCCAAGGGCTTGAACATTAAGGGTGAAATTCTATGCATCTTTAGACCAAAACAAAACCCTAGAACTCCTGGTGGTCCCAGCCAGTCATGTTAAGAGTTGTAGGGATTTTTTTTCCTATTTTTTAAAAATATGCACAGGGTTGCACCCTAAATTGCTTTCAACTTTTTATATAATCTGTGCAATAAGATGTGCTTTGCATGAGGAAGGTTTCAGGTACAGTGTTAGCTATCTCATGGCAGCAAGGGCAGAAGAAACTTCTACACTAAACCTTGGAGAGCAGCTGCATGTTTCAAAGGACATGCTGGGCTAGATAAACAAATAGTGTAACTCCATAGGCTGTTTCATATGTTGATATTGTTTAAAGGTGTTATGTACACCTTTGCAGATCAGTATAGTAGAGGTCCTGAGATATAAACATTTTAAAAAAATCCCTGTGTTATCCTGTGTTATCTTGATGTTGTGAAAACAAAACTAATATCTGAGCAGAAATATTTTCAAATGTTCACATTATCTTTTCAAAAGGAAAAATACATCTGAGAGCTCCTTCATTTTCCTGCAAAATAAAGCAGTGGATATTATTTACTGTACTCATTTAGTTTCATTAAGTATAGTTCATCTAGCCTAGTACTGGGATTTTATGCACAGTACTTACTCCAAAAGCACTGATCCATCAAAGACTGAGGTGTATAACAGCTGAGCAACAGAAAGGCTTAGATGATTTAGAGCAGCAGTGTACAACCTTTTCAGTCTTGTGGGCTGCATATACTAACTCGGGATGCATCCATACTGCGGTGATTTTGGTACAGATCACTCCTCTCTGCTACTAACAAGGAAGAGCAATCTATATGAGGAATGCCAAAGAAAGGATGGAGAGAAGGCTCTTAACTGCTGTTATTGGCGAAGAAGGAGCAATTGGTAAAAGGACTACTGGGGAAGAGAATTGGGGGGATTAAGAGTGTCCTTGGGGAGTATTTAAGGTCTTGAAGGGTGCAGATCCATCCCTCCCACACACACCTTTTACAGGGTCTATTTGGAGTTAAGACAGTGCTGAGCTGCTCAGGGTTAAATACAAATACCAATTGTATCAGGGATGCTATGTATTCTGCCTTAATCGTGGTTAAGACTACATTCCACATGGCAGATCAGGTTCAGCATAAGAAAGGCTGTGCTTCCACCTCCTCCCAATTAGCAGAAGTGGGGGGAGAAAAGAGAAGGCTGAAAACATAAGTAAATACAACTTGGATTGGTTAGCTCAAACTAGGTACAGGTCTGCTCTTGTAGGCCTTGAGAAATCAGAAGGCGCTGCCCATATGCTTTACTCTAAACCTTGAAAGATGCAGCTTTTATTTAGAAGCAAATGGCCATTACATTCTCCCATAGCGTGTAACCATGTAAATCTGCACCATAGTAAAAGTCATTGCAACAACAAACAAATGGTGATGTAATATGTGTTCTGCCAAGTTCAGGCAACACCTTGCCCAGCTGAAGATTAAAGGATGATCCGTTTTCACTTACGCATAAGTGAAAGAAATTATGAAAAGAAATTATGGAGTAGGGGGAAGTTTTAAAGAAACTGAGTTGTTAACCGTGATAGCAATTTTCTTAGCTATGAAATTGTTGTGAACCTCTTTCTCCCGCCGAAGAGCTGAATCCTGTTTCAACAGTTGGAGTGGAGAGAAACTGAAGACAAAAGGAAGAGGGCCAAAAGTATCCGCATATCTTAGCATAAAGGTTTAACTGCCAGTAACTAAGTGTTAGGCGAGGCATTGCAACCTTTTGGAATAAGGAAAAAAATGCAAAAGCCATGAGACCTCCAATGGCTTGGTAACAGACAGGAGAAGGCATGGCTGTTTGAGGAAGTCCAAGGACTAGGTTTGGCCCCTGCATCTGAGCTTCTGCCCTATAACAGCATGAATCTTAAAATAGCAAGATCTTATGGCAAGTGGCAGCTGCTTTTAAGATTTAGGAAATACTTCCCTTCTACCTTAACTGGATTTTCTGCTCCTTTTGGAAGGGGGGGTTTGGGGTGGCACCAAGAAAAAAATATGTTCAAATAAATGTGCTTTTACGCGTTTTTTTTCTTTAAACAAGCTGTGTAAAGAAATGCAAGCTTTCTTACATCTGGGGAGAATGTGAAAGCAAGTTGAGACTATTGGGTCTATTTCTGCTTCTCTTACTCTTCTGCTTGCTTTATAACGCTCTAAGCTAGAACACTTGCTGGCTAGTTTTTCCTGTATTTTTAGCAACTGCTCTATGAGCTCACACTGCTATTTTCAGTTGTTTTATGACTGCAGTTCTCAGTAGAGGAGCATTATGCGGGAAATGCATTTCTAACATGGTACCCCATGAGTCATGTTGTCCCATGCCATTTCCTTGACAAACCACACAAGCAGTGTAATCACAAGCAGCGTAATAGCAATAGAAAAACCTCTTATTCTTTCCCTAAAACAACTGGAGATGTTACACTGGCAATGAAATGATGGTACATCTACTTCTTCAACTGGGAAATCAATAGTCTAGTCATTGGTCTATGGAAAATTTCTATGCCTTCCAATTTCACAAACATCCCATTGACTTTTCCACATTTCTTGTGCTACAATTTGGAATTGAAATGGATTTGTTATCACTTGATATTCACAAGATACTTAACATAGTGAGCAATTTAAGTAAACAAAAATAAACAACATTTGTTGGTTACAGAAGTACTCCTCTCCCCTGTTAATACTTGATAGAAACACCTTTGGCAACAGCTGCAGCCAAAAATCTTGGTTACATATATTTGTGCATGCTGCAATGTTTGCTCCTTTTACCTGGCAAAACTACTCCAGTTCTGTCAGGTTGGGTGGCGGCCACGGGTGAACAGCAACTTGGCGCAGATATTCAGTTGTATTGTGGTCTGGTTTGACTGAGCCATTCAAAGTCATTGTTCTTTTTATACCAGTGTGCACCTCTGTCCCAGTCCCAGGCAGACTGAAACAGATCTTCCTCTAAAATTATCCTGAATTAAGTTCCATCCATCTTGCCCTCAACCCTGACCAGTCTCCCAGTCACTGCTGAGGAAAATCATCCCCTAACATGATGCTGCCACCATCATGCTTCCCTGTGGAGATGGTATTCTCATGGTAGTAACTTCTGCTGGCTTTCTACTAGCATTTTGCAGCAAGGCCAGAAATTTCAATTTTGGTCTCAGCTAACCAGATTAGATTTTTCCACAGGCATGCCGTCTCTCCCACATGCCTTTTTGTGAACTCCAAACAGTCTTTGATATGGAATTGTTTCAACAATGGCTTTCTTCTCACCACTAATGCCCAGCAGTGCTTTGTGGAGTATCCCCAGAATAGTTATCCCATGGATGTGTTATCCCATCTTAGCTGCAGATCTCTCCAGTTCCTTCTGAGTTACCATTGGCTTCCTCTCTAGTATCCCAGTCATTTAATTTTGGTGGACAACCTTCTCTAGACAGAGTCAAAGCTGAGCCACATTCTTTCCATTTCATAATAATAGATTTAACAGTATTCTGGGGAATGTTCATAGTCTGAGAATTTTAAAAAATATAAGTAGCCCCCAGGTTACAAATGTCTGGGTTACGAACTTACAAATGCACTAATTGCTATAAAGCCTGTAATATAGGCCCTATATGAATATATCTCACAAAAAGCTGTGAATATCTCTAGGGAACTATGGGAAATGTTTGGTGACACATCATCAGTGGCTGCATAGTTCCCTAGAAATATAGTACTCAACAGTTTTTCGTTCTGTGGCATTGGCTTAAGCATAACTAAGCCAGTGTGTTTTGGTTCACATGTAGGGCACATAGTTCCCCTCTGATTTTTCTTTAACATTTGCCCTTATAATCATGTCTTCAAAGCATGAATTTGATGCAAGTGCAGCGTTGCATGAAAGAAAAGGAAAACAATCACTATGGAAAGTAAAGTGGAAAAAATAAAGCAATCAGAGCAAGGTGAGACACCTTTAAATGAATTGTTACAATGCTGTATTGTATGCAAGATGTCTTAGTGAATATGAAAATGTTTCTTAATTGCATGGAAAGGTAAAAAATATACATATACTAAGACATATACTCATGTGATCCGACTTACATACAAATTCAATTTAAGGATGTTCTCAGGAATGGAACTCATTCTTAACCTGGGGACTACTTGTAACTCAGCCCTCACTGATTCATATTATTAGAGATTTATTTTGATAGGTACTTGGTTTCATTATGCTGTTTCTTAGATCGCTCTCCAACAAATTCTAAGAGCTTCTAGAAACTGGTGTATTGAATCTGAGATCATGGATCAATACAGGTGGAGTCTACCTACAGTACTTCTTCTGGCAGTGGGCTTCATTAGGGTGTGTTTAAGCAGGTCAC